ATCGCTGAGGAATATTCGAAGAGAGGGGGACCGTTTAGAAGCTGGAGAGGAGGTTTTTGAATGTTGATTTCCCCGGTTTTATGCGCCTCTAATGGGCCCTAATGTAGACTCCCACGCATGACGCCTAGTGAGAGGAAGGAGAATCGTGGAAGGTTAAACTTGAAAAAATTGGAAATTGGAAACTTCCTCACTTATTAAGGGTGACACTCCTGCGCTCACATCTTTTGTTTCATAGTTGTGTATAATATATATTATTTATTTTTTCTTGAAAAAATCGTTGTCGCAGTTCAGTTTGATGGAGGCAGTCTGGTGGTTCTCATCGATCGTTGCCCGCTTTGTCTCCAGGAAACTGTAAATCCTTGTGAAGCTATGCAGTAGCATGACTTTGCTCATAGTAGACAAGGGTACCTGACAAGAGTTCACAGGTCTCACCAGAGTTAGTTGCGAAAATGCAAAACGCCCCCCCCCCCCCTAAGCCGAACAAAGCCGGAATTTTTCCCCAAGATATCGACTACTCACTTACTCTCCTCTACTGGTAAGCACTTCTATAGGTAGCTTGTTCGGAGCCCACTCAAGAACCTTCCGTCCGAGTTATTATGATTTCAAAGACCACAACCAAACTGTTCATGTTTGGTCCACTACTGCCAAAGAACTGGTTCAACTTCAAGCTTCTTAAGGCCCATTGTTGTCTTCTGCACTTGCTGAAAGGTTTTCCACCGCTTCTACCCATCCTTCGGAGACGACTAATCCAGAATTCCCGGCTGGGTGGTCCCAGTCTTTCCTAGGAGAACCTCTGTCGCCAAAGTCGTATGAAATTCTAGTGATACGAACGGATCCAGCTACTTGACATCACTGTTTGCTTATGAAGAGTTCGATGTAATCACTTAATTTGTCGGTTTGACCTGATAATGACGATGATTGAGATGGAATTTCGCCCTCTTTCTCTCGTCACTGCTCGAACAGAGCTTTGTCGACTTTGACCGCGGGTCAAGTGAGCAAACACTCACTCAATAATCCGAGCTACGGCCACGGACGGAACGCGACTACGTTCGACGAAGCACGCGTCCAAATACCGGCGCCCATGTAGTACCGACCGGCCGACGAGAAAATGAAAAACGAGCGCCACAAAAGTCGCGCTCACGTCCCTCCGACGACACACACGATCCCTGCGCGTTGCCTGACACACGAAATGTCACAACTTACAGGGATTAGACAATAGAGGGCACCAAAAATTCTATTTTGGGGGGCAAAGGGACCAGCAAACGTGTCATAGACGGAATACCTGTTTCTTATTTCTCACTCCATTCCTCGACGGAATTTTTGGCAGACATCTTGACATGAGACACTATCAAGGGATATCGATTGATAGCCGATGATTTTAGAGGATTTTAGGTTCAACAGCACTACTTCTTCAGTGTTACGGTCCGCAACTCGATTACAATGGTGTGCACCAAAGCCGATAGTTTTAATCGATATTTATCGATAGCCCTTACGAAATCCAGACTCAAAACAACGGAACAATCCATCCAGAGCACGTTGTACGTTGGGGATGCCCTGCAAAAGGGAGGGGTAGCATTTGGCCCCTGGAGGAAGATGAAGTGCGGGGGGCAATAGTTTTCAAGATAAAAGTTTTCGTTTGTTTACTTCCCTCGGTTTTACGTGTGCTCTATGCTCCCAACCACCTCCGCTCCACGCAGCTTATTCTGGGATTTACTGGAACACTCTTGGAAGAAACTTTCGGAGAAGTGTAGGAAGTTATTGGAGATTTTGGGAGGTCGTACGTCTGGACGGGAAACGCGGCGAGAGTCGTTGACCAGAGGAACAAATATTAAGGGGGTGCGAGCCTCATTCTTTTTTTTGCAAAATTCCCCTAGCGGTAGGCCGCGCTCTGAATTCATCGCTTTTCTTCCATACTTCTGCACTCACTAATTTAATCTACGTATGTCTAGTGACACCTCATGAATTACAGTATTCGAGAATATAGAGCGCATTTCGCTTTGGTGGGGGCACCAAATGGTACTTCAAAGCTTATACAGATTACTTTGCTAAGATCACTTCACTCGAGCCATTTTGCAGCTTCACAAGTAATTATAGATCTCACCAAGATAATGCTTGTTACTCAACCTGAACTAGCAAAAGAAAGTGATAAGAGTGCAGGAGCATACCTCCCTTTCTCTGAGCTGCCTACCTCCCTCTCCCCAAGCCGATAGTGCCGAATACAGATTATTTGATTCCATAACAATTATTAATTGTGAATCTCCAGAACTCTATTTCCTCATCATCCCCATTGGGATTTCAACGAGCTTCTCCTGACAAAAGTGTATTTCACCAACATGATGAGTAGCAATTAATTTGGAGATTGTTGATTTCTTCGAAAAAAATAATATCGTGGAACAACTTGTGGTATTCCCTTGGCACTAGGCCAAAATGAAATAAACGCCCCACTTGAAAGTTTCCTGAACGACACAGTCTACCATGCAGTCTCCTTTCCTCAAAGCACAATCCACGGCCTTCCTGTGCGTGCCGCTAGTGGAGTCGATAGCTCGCAGTGCGCCCTAAGTGGTCGCTCGACCTTTCTTAGAGAGTAGACTATCAGGCCCGCCTGCCTAAACCCATACGACCAGCGTGGACTTAGCCTTCAAGATAACCAAATCGAGATATTTTCAGCTTGCAAACGTGGTTCACCTCAATACCTCACCGGCAATGCACACAACGAAGACGAGCCGATCCACAACTGCCAGACAGCTTCCACTTGTGTTTCGAACTTCGAGTGTACTTCAATTGGTTCCATGCAGATGTGCTGTCCAACGGTGGCGTCAATTTGTAGTAACGCTGGAGGACGAGCCTATGATGTACTCCGGAATACCAACTTTGATCCTGGTGTCAGCATGAAGAGAAGCTTCAGTCTCTCATTCGCCACCTCGAGCAGGTTTGTGTAACTCTAGAGCCCTCAGTTCTATATTATCAAGCTTTATTTGTGTGTGCGCGGTGTGTAGCAAGACAATTGCGGGCGCGGGCGTCGGAAGGCGACGCAACGCGCAGCCACGTGGTAGCGCCTGCCTTGCTTATGGGGGTAGTTCATTCCCGCTGTCCGCGATACCACACATCGCGATAGATTTATTGAAGAAATCAGAACGCTAAAATGCGCAGGTAGCCTTCGGCAACTATACATGTGACCCGGACGGCGACGTCGAGAGCTGACTAGCAGCGCCCCTTCTTACAATCCTCTTTGCACGTCCCCTCTGAGAGCCACTTATTGTTTGACTGCATTTTTTTATTTTCTGGTATGATGACTGTTGTTGGGAGGCCACAGCTCCACGCGCTCTGCAATGTCATCATCAAAAGTATCCGAGGCGCCGGACAAAAATCTGACTCCATGAGGGAATCGAATGATCACCTCACGCTTGCCGGGCGACTGCGGTACCCGTTACGCGACCAGGGTTGCTTTTACCCTACGACCTCAGATTGTTTGCTTGCCAGAGCCTTACAGCACGCCCGCAATTTCTTATAGGTGTCTGAACTCATCAAATAGATATTAATTTGGACCCGCCCAATGAAACAACCTTGCTACATGTTAGCGCCGCTAGAAATTTTGTAAGACCAAGGGGTGTTAAAGCTCCTGCTGCAAATGGACCCGCCCACACTGGTAGATAATCGCATTACTAGCACTTTTGCCCCTTCGCATGCCTCCTCTCGCGGAGCTGGTTGACGGCATACTTCCCTTTACTGATAGGCTAGTCTTGCGTTTGGCATCGCGAATTTCCTATTCATCAAAAGGGTAAAAATTGGTTCAAAAAAAGATCACTCGTAGGCCCCTATGTTCAAAGTCCACCCACTTCTCAGTACGAGTTATGCCGCTGAAGGACTTGTACCGCCTTAATAAACTGAATCCCTTCCAGATACTACTATGACGCGGAACAAGCGCCTGTATAGCGTTCACCTACAACGGCGCTCTCGGCAACTACAACAACTTCAAGTCATCAGCTGATTGTGAACTGTTCTGCGCTAAACTGCAATGCAAATACGGTTCACACCGTTTGAAGGACTCGTGGCCACCAACCAGCGTTGCAGTACGATATGCGGACCCTGTCCCAGCCTCTCCACGAATGCTCAACGCTCGATCCACACAAAGCGGCTGCGTCCACGAACCTCGTGACCAGTTTCCCTTCGACGAAATTGACATTTTATTTACTCTCTTCCTACCAAAATAATTGCTGCTAGGCAGATCCGGCGTACCGTTGGAAATGATAAGTTCCCACAAACATTAGCACATGGGTTTAAAGGAATTCGCCGTAACGAATAGGCGAGGCCCACCATTTAGCGCCGTTGACGCACCTTTTTTCTGTTGAGCAACCGAAGTGTGCGAGCAAGCCGTGCGGGACGTCGTGTTTCTCCGGCCCATTTGACTAAAAACCCAAACCTTTCTAAGCCCGACATATTCCCGCGAGAAACCGCCATCGCACCAGTATGTTCCGCTCGCGCGAATGCTAGGGTTCACGAGGTTGGCGATGAGAACATCTGACCCGACACGCGCACAGGCCCTATCCTCTCTCTCCCCCGCTTATTCCTCTCGTTTGTCGCGCGTACCCCCCCACGGCACCCAGGCCTCCGCCTGCCCCGACGAACACGAGCCACTGGCCATCCGCCACCTCCCCGAACCTCATCCTTCCTCCGATTTGCCGCGCGGCGCGTCCACCAGCGAAGAAGAACCCTCCCACTTCGGCACCCGCCAACCGCGGTGCCCGGTCGCACCGTCGTTGCTCTCCACTGGGATAGCGAACACTTCCCCTAACAGCTTCTGCACTCTACCAGAACTGGCACAGCCTAGTCCCAACGCATGCCCCCACCCTCTCTCCCTCAGCTGACGAGCCCAACTAGCACTTAATTCAAGTGCCAGCGTTTGAAAAGCGGCCCTCTCGAAGATTCACTGAGGGTCCATCCTCCAGAAAGCCCTGAGGGGTCCGCTTCCAAGATAACCTTCAAGGAGAGGGGGAGCGAGAATGGGGTCATCTATGTTAAACCCATTTGCTATGCATAATGTGCAGAAATTGATGGCTCCAACGTCCAGGTCTATGGGGTTCCGAGGGCAACTCGTTGGTACCTACCCTCCCAGCACCTCCTTTTGTGATAGAGCGCTCTAGCTCTGTTCGGCTATGTACAGCCGTTTTTGATCAGCTAACACTTTTCGTGAAGAGCTTGCGCGTGCCACATGGGCGGTTAGTCAGGAGTTCCCGCGTGTCTTCCTTGTTCCATCGCAGCGGTGACGGACACCGAGAGAGCTAGCGCTTTTGAGGCTAAGCTGCTGATATCGGTGGTGTATGTACGTGTTCTATTTGCAGAAGCGATTTGTTCGCAACCGCTACGATTGGGTGATTGTAAGCAGAGCGTGCGACGCTATTGGTACAACGCTGTGACGAGAGCGTGCGAGATTTTCGACTATACCGGATGTCAGGGCAATGACAACAACTTTGAAACGCTACTCGAATGTCAAAACACATGCGAGAATATCATTCGTAAGTTTTTATCATCTCTGCATAACTTATAAGCTTTTCGCCCTCTCGAATTCTTCGACGAGCAAATTTTAGCTCCTACAAATCTGACACCATCTGACAACCCTGAAAGAATAGGTTCTCTGGTCCCGGAGAGTGTCTGGGCGTGGAAGGCGATGGGTGCATTTGCCGACCTACTATCTATGTCGGAGTCAACATCCGACCCAGAAGGAAACTCCCGGGGAATTTATTTTATCATGTGGCTGTTCCGTCTTTAGCTACCGTTTCCCTTTCTTTTTCCGATCAACAGGACTCGAGATCGATACACGAGAAGGGAATAGATCTTCCCATTTCAAGTGCTGACGATCACCGCTATATGTACCCAGCCTTGGTGAGCACATAGTCCAAATCACGTAAACAATTAGATCCGGAAATTAAGTCCCGACTAATTGCGACGGAACTTGAAAATTCCTCAAGGGGCGTGATTAAAGTCGCATATAGCGAGGCGTCCTAGGAGGGCTAGACGAACGAAAATTTCTTCGTATAACCGCCTCGAAAGTGGTACATCATGAGGGTTCACCAGAGACCACGTCCGGAAGAGTTCTATGAGAAGTCGTAAAACGAGTCAGGGAGGCCATATTTGTCTCTATGTCGAGGTGCGCCAAATTAAGAGGTGGTTATGAATATAAGTCCTCCGTTTGCGCGGGTTGTGTCGCGTCGTTTCAGAACCCTTCAAAAGCCACATAGTTGCTTCATTGTAACGACCGATTCGTTCGTTAACTGAATTTTCGTACAGATGAAAACTGTGAACGTTAGGTTCTTCACTCAAGACATTACCCGTAATTGGTCTTCATCAGCTGATGAACGTCATTCTATCAAGTTAACAAATATTTGTTATCCTGCGTAGTCCGAAAATGACCTTCACAATGATCAGCCTACTACCAGCATCACCTTCTTAGCAACAACCTTTGCAATTCACCTGAAAATATCATAATTAGGCGGAGATGGTGGCAATGTGGCAAATGGGCACCCGCAGTAGTCATCACTGAAGTCAGTCAGGGCGTTCCAGCGGCGCGTGGGTTTTGGCGCGACGTCAGTCCTTTTTCCACCGTTTAGCGATTGTCCAAAGGTGCAGCGACCCATGGAAGTGTGTTGGCGCCGCGTCCAAACCCGTGCCCTGGCGAGAGGCCAAGCTGACTTCAGTGATACACTCTACCACACAAACTCTCCTAAGATTAACCCTGCGATCTGCTCCCTTCGAGGTAAACATATTTTCCATCCCTACGGGATCCACAATTTGGTAACTGAGTTCTCTGGTAAGACAACAGCACTAGTTCGTACATCGGCTGCTCCCGGAGCCTTGTTTAGGCCATATCGACTTCAAAGTGCCGCTACGACCAGGACACCCTATGTTGGAAAGTTCCAATGATGGGTATCGTATTCGAAGTGGGGGAGAGGTCGTTTTGCCTTTGCGGCACAAAATGTTTGGGTTATTGACTTCTATCGGTTTTTCGGTCCCCGTGCGGCCTGGCAGCAAGACGTGCCCTGGCTACGATCCCTAACGGAAATAGATGTGTGTCGCGTCCCAAGGAGGATAAACCCGCGCCTGTCCTCTTGAAACAGTTACCCATACAACTGAACAACTTCCAACTACCTAAAATGTAAAATTTCAGCCGAACCGCAGTGCCCTCAAGGTGACGCTTACAAGGACTACCAAGGAAATTACTACGTTTGCTCAAATTCTGGTGTTGGCAACTCCTGTCCAGTCAACTACGAATGCTACTTTGACGGCTACGTTTGGGGCTGTTGTCCAACGAAAGGTTAGATGTTTCAGAAGAATTACCGGCGCATCTCGGCTTGAGGGGGCATTTTGCTGGTCCCGATCGATCGCTTCCTGTGCAGGCATGTAAACTCCTGTCAAGCTCTGCAGCAACGTAAGTTTGCTTAGCACTGTCACATCACTTAACAAGAGTCTGCAGACCTCATAAAGGTGAGACGTGTAGCTCAAAGGAACTGGTAAAAGAAACTGGCGAAAGTGCAAAATGCCCCTCCAGCCGAACAGCGCCGAATTACCTTTATAGTTGCTCACCATTAATACTAATCTAATCTTTTCAGCCTACACCTGCACTCTGTCTCCCCACAAGGGTGTGACCTGCGGCAGCGGCTCGTCTTATCGGTACTTTCTACAACAGTCAAACCCAGGAATGTGAAAGCTTCCAGTACAATTGGTGTTTGTGAATTCGAGACAATTCGCCACCAAGAGCACGACTGTGAGCGATACTGTAGCGTGGTGGTTGACCCGTCGGAGGCAACGAAGAACGCAACGAATTTGGCCAGCTGATGGTCTGCTCCTGCCACCCAGGTCTGTCCGACTACTCACGAATGCACGTCGGTGAATTCTGGCAGCAGCGTCGTGAATCGATGCTGTCCAACTCGCTCATACATCTGCTCCCTCCCACCTCAACAAGGGAGCTCGTGCTCATCATCAGCTGTCTCGCTATGATTTAGACATAGTCAGCCAAGGGAATTCATCCCAATTACCTACAATGGGCTGCAGTTGGCATCTCGAACAACTTCGGCAAGCATCGAAAAATGCAATGAATCTTCTGCTTTTCGTCTCTGTACTGACTGTGATGTGGCCTATGTGAATCCCAACACCAACATGCCGTACGAATGTAATGCGGCGCTCAGTAACAGTTGTCCGTCGAACTTCGCCTGTACTTATGACCAGCTGTCCTCGACCAGCGTCTGTTGTGGAGCTACGCATATGGGTGAGTCTTTAGGTATTATACCCGTGCTTGTAGAGAATAGTGAGCCTTTTCGCTGCTTTACTATAATCGATCAATATGGTTGAGCCGCGCCGCGACCGCACGTGTAAACCTAGAATAGAGATAGTATTGAGATTCGTTTTTCAGATGTCTGTCCAGAAGGCGAGAAAGCCTATGTGAATGCCGCCGATATGAGTGTTCGGGAATGCTTGATAAATGTCGAAGGATCCTGCCCAAGCAACTACCTGTGCCGTTTCAATGCTCTCAAGAATCGATACTATTGCTGCGCATCGATAACGGGCGATCTCTGCCCTGCTGGAAAAGCGCTCTTCCGCGAAGCATCTTCGAAATCACCAATTAGGTACGTTATCATAGGAAAAACTTTTCTGCATGGAATAGGGCAGGCCAGCCAGAGTTGAGCCGTTAGGAATCCTATCGGAAGCTGTGATGCTTCCCCGAGAAAGAGTCCTGGGCGCAGTAGTCTTTTTCGCTGCGGATGCTGGGCGTGTCAGAGGGGAGAGGGGCTGAGTGTGGCGCGGCGCTGGCCCGTTTCCTACCACTTGTGGTCGCTTACCCGCTTCAGTAATGGTGGAGTACGGGAGATCTAGGAGAGGTTACCAAAATGCGGCCTAAATTTTAAAAAGTGGGGCAGCAAAGGAGAGGTTACCATTGCTGTTTTCAAAATTTAGGCCACATTTTGACTGGGATTTCTCCTCGAGGGTAGATTTGACCAGATTTTCATCTCCGGAGAGGGAGGGGGGAGGTGGTGGCCTGACCTCTGAACATGTATACCACACCAGCATATCTTGGAACAGCCTTTGCTCACATCATAGGCGTCAGCGCCAAGACACCAGAATACCCTAAATACGCTGAGTGCTTCTCCCAAGGGGTTTTTTGACCCGCTTGGTGGAACTTCTAATGGGTGCATTACCGGCGTCGAACCGCACAAACTAAATAAACTGTGACAACAGCAGTCGTGACGCGATCCCCAGGCTTTAAGGGTTTAGCTCCATGTGGACTATTGTTAATCAGGGGCTCATAGTACCTAGAAGCTAAGGTCTTGGCCAAATCTGACGCGAGAGAGATCGGAACAGTAGAAGATGAGTAGGGCCGAATACTCTCTGACAATGAGAACAATAGCAGTGGTTGACATATTGATTGATTATTGATCGTCCCAGAACCCGTG